GTTGGGGGGTTGTGAGGGGGGGCTGACACTGTGGCCGGGCTGCATCCCAGCTGGACTCTCCCTGTGCTCACACCTGCTCCTTCCCCTCCGTTCCACGGGTGTCGGTTCCTCACACCACACCCCCTCTCTGCGTCTGCTTCCTGGGGAACCCCCATGACATCACCAATCCCCTGGCGTGAGAAAGACCCCGGCCCTGGGAGTGGAAAGATCCCAGTTCAGGAGTGCCTGCCCCTACTAGCTGGGTGGCATGCCCACGCCACTCCGCTGCTCTGAGTCTCCTGTTTGTCAGGTGCTGGGGGGCGGGGGGAGGGGCAGGGGGACAGGCAGGCTGTTTACACAGGGGAATGGGCACCAGCCTTGGACTCCACAGGTTTGAGTCCCAGCTCTGCCGCTCCCTTGCTGAATGCTGTGAGCAACGGCACCACCCCTCTGAGCCTCCTCTCATCCGTGAGACGAGAGCGGAAAACCTACCTCATCGGGTGCTGCGAGGATCGATGAGTGAATAAAATAATGTGTGTTAAAGGGCTTAGGACAGAAGCTGAGCGCCAGGCCAACATTCCATGAACAGTGGTTGCTATGTTTGTTATCGTTAGAAGAGTGAGACAACTGGAGTGGTTAAGAAAGTGACCTTCGGCCAAGGCAGCCCGAGTTAAAGAATGAACTTTGAACAAAGGGCGTGGACGTTCTAGGAACCCTCTGAGTGGAGTCAACGTGATTATAAAGTTACTGTAAAATCGGGAGCTCAGCCTGAAGCTGTATGAACGTGAGAGGCAATTTCTTTGGAAACACGGGTCCCCAAGCTGTGTGGAGGGGAGAGGGGGGGGGGGACGACAGGGAGGGAGCAGGGGTCTCACCTATATGTTCCAGGAGCCCACTGGAGACCCATCTCCTTTGTGAAAGCATGGGTACGTCATCCAGACCCTAGCCTCTCTCGCCAGCGGCTCCCAGCGTTCTGGCTTTCCACCAGCGACGTTTCCTGTAGGGTCCGCTGGGTCCAGAATCACAGGCCTGAGGAGCAACATTGAGAGAAGGACAGCTGAGGAGCTGGGCTGGGTCTCCGGAGTCTAGATGCTCCTGTAATTGCAAAACACCTGGGGCAGGTGGGACGGTGGGTAGGAGGAAGGGCCCAGCAGGGCGCTGCTTCCTGGGACTCATCCTGAGTGTCCTGGAGAACAGCAGACCCAGGAAAAGGAGCCTTGCTCTTGGGCCTTACAGACCTGAGTTGGAATGCCACCGGTGCCCTTGATTCGTGGTGTGCCCGTGGGAAGGTCACTGGAGCTCTCTAAGCCTCGGTTTCCTCATCTGTGAAATGGGGTGAGCTGAACATGCCCACCTCCAAGGATGTGAAATGCTCCGCACAGTACGTGGGACACAACCTAATGAGGGCCCATCCACATCAGTCCTCATGATAATACGTTTTCCTGTTCGAGTGTGTGAGCCCCACAGCAGGCTTTTCACCCCGGGGAAGTGATTGGATTGCTGGGGCTGTTGCTGTCTCAGCCCACATTTCAGCTATTGCGCTCATTTCCTGTGAAGGGTCGCACAAGCTCCTCGCCTCTCAGAACCTCAGTGTCCTCATCTACTAGTTACTAGTATAGGCGGGAGCACAGTGCCCGCCTCACAGGGCTGCCTGTTGTCTGATCAGATGGCAGTAAGGGGCCCGGCACTGGGACGGGCAGCAGCAGATGACCAACAGACATGGAGCCTCTCCTTCCTCATTTCCCAGGCACCAGAGCTGAGCCCGGGTCCATGGGTGCGGGGAGGGGCCCTGTGGGGACAGAGTACCTGGGTTTCTGGAGCTGCCTCCGCAGGTATGGACCAATCACAGGATGTGAACTGTCGTAATACTGTGTCCAGTGGATGCAAAGCTGCTGGTAGTTCATGACTAGCTCCAAGACCGTCCGAAATCCCTGCGCTGTGATGAAGTCCGTTTCCCGGCCTGCACGCTCCCAAGCGTAGACGGTCAGGAGCTCCAGCGCGTACTGAGGCGGCAGGGACTGTCCAAGCTTCTCCTTACACTGAGAAGGGGAAAAACAGCCAGAAAAATGGGCTTGCCCAGCCCTGTGGCCGAATCCAGCCGACCGCCTGCTTTTGTAAATAGCGTTTTCTCTTGGCGCAAAGTCACGCTCATTCATGCACGTATTGTCTGGCTTCCACGCTCCAAAGACTGCGTTGAGTAGCTAAGACGGAGACCGTGGCCCTGACCCAGTGTCCCTGCTTTTGTAAATAACGTTTTTTCCTGGCGCAAAGTCACGCTCATTCATGCACGTATCGTCTGTGGCTTTCACGCTCCAAAGACTGCGTTCAGTAGCTAAGACGGAGACCGTGGCCCTGACCCAGTGTCTAAAATATTTACTACCTCATCATTTATGAAAAGAGTTCGCTGGCCCTGGTTAGGGTTGGGGCTCTGGATTCTGATTGAATCCTGGCTCCAACCTCGCCTGATTCTGGGCAGACGACTCTTTTTTTTTTCTTCTTTCTTTTAAATATGTTCTTATTGGTTCTTAGGGAGAGAGGAAGGGAGGAGAGAGAGAGATAGGAACATCGATGAGAAAGAACCCACACCCAGGCATGTGCCCTGACGGCCATGGAACTGGTGACCTCCTGGTGCCAGGTCGATGCTCAACCACTGAGCCATACCGGCCGGGCTGGGCAGACCACTCTTGAAGCCTCACTTTTCTCATTTACCAAGTGAATGGTAATAATAGCATCTACCTCAAAAGGATATTGTGAGCCTGGCAGGTGTGGCTCAGTAGTTGAGCGTCGACCTATCAACCAGGAGGTCACGGTTTGATTCCTGGTCAGAGCACATGCCCAGCTTGCAGGCTTGATCCCCAGTGGGGGGCGTTCAGGAGGCAGCCGATCAATGATTCTCTCTCATCATTGATGTTTCTATCTCTCTCTCCCTCTCCCTTCCTCTCTGAAATAAATAAAAGTAATAAAAAAGGATATTATGAAAATTAATTCAGAGGAAGCACTTTAAGCACTTCCTAAGTGCCTTCTAGAAGCAAACAAAATTCCCTCTGCAGGAAGATATATGATCCAAAGCCCCAAATTATCTCACAAATAATCTCAAGTACTACGAGGAGCATAGAAACAGCCAGGCACACAATGAAACGGCACCAACAGGAAGGAAAAAAAAAAGAGATCAAATAGTAATAAATTCCTGAAACTCTAAATATTGCAGAGTCAATTACTGGCTTGAAAAGAACTGGGAACGCTCTATCCAAAGGAAGAGAAGCAGAGCATGAGCAAGGCGGGCCTAGAAGCCATGCCCCTCTTCCTCTCATCTCTCCCTCCATGTTCCCCTCCTCCTCCCCTCCCTCCTTCCCTCTCTACCCCTCCCTTCTCCTCCC